ATTAAGATAGATAGATAGATAGATATTAAAATGGAGAGAGAGATAGATAATTGAATAGATAAGTATTAAGATAAATATAGATAGATAGATAGATAGGTATTAAGATAATTAGGTATTAAGATAGAGATATAGCTAGACAGATAGATATTAAGGAAGAAAGGTACATATTAAGAAAGAAAGAAAACAGATATATATTAATATAGATAGATAGATATTAAAATGGAGAGACAGATAGATAATTGAATAGATAAGTATTAAGATAAATAGGTATTGAGATAGATAGATAGACAGACAGATAGATAGATAGATAGATAGATAGATATTAAAATGGAGAGATAGATATGTAGTAATATAGATAGATATGTATTAAGATAGGTAGGTATTGACATAGATATGTATTTAGATAGATAATTGAATAGATAGATAGATAGATAGATAGGTATTGAGATAGATAGATAGATAGATAGATAGATAGATAGATAGATAGATAGAACGTTTTCGATAAGCCGACACTAGATTATGTACTGCTTGGCTTAGATTACTACTTCAACAGAGTAGCGCATTAATGATTGATTCATCTATCAACTATAACATGCAATTTTGTAATAGATATATGCATTGTACATTCTTCTCATACTTAAAACATTTGAGATATCTTTTATGTTCTTTTGTCTTTTATACTGACGTCAAATCTCCTAGCTCTATGTTCTATTTTCGTTCCTGGTTTACATTTGTATTTTAATTATTTCCAACATGCCAATCTGCCTCCACTGCAAATATTATACGCAGTTTCTATTTTTGGTATACTATGCAACATCGTAGAATCGAAATGAAGACAGCTTGCAACTTCCTACGTGGAAAGAAATTAACACAATACATTTCGATATACATATAATGGTCGGATATTACAACAAGCATATAACCAGCTATATCCTAGCAATAAGTCCAACAGACACAACAATGCTGTTATATACCGTATCTATGGAAACTAATGTGTATCTCTTAATCCTCATAAATACTTTGGCCACTATTGTAAGCGGCGGTAATATTCTGTCTAAGTAGTTCACTACTAGCGGTGGTTTACCTACTTCACGCCGCTGGCGAGTATTGTAGCTTGTTGAGATTATAGAGATTATCATTTCATTTCCAACCATCGTTTTGGTTATTCCTCATTCAGTAAACTTTTCTAGATTATAAAAATTTAAACCTGGTAACTGCTCTTGAAAATGACCTCCCGTCAGTGGTTAACTGGGGCAAGAAATGACTTGTAAATCTTAACACTTTCAAAACGAATATTGCTTTCATTTAATCAACACAGAAAACCTATTCTCTCTCTGTTATCACAATGGCTGATGATAAACTCCAGGAGGGCAACACTCTACCTCTTTTTTTATCTCAAGTTTTCCACTGACAGGAAATGTAGTGGCTACATCGAATCAATTGATATGTCTACTGCAAGTAAATTTTGTCTCGTCAGAATCCATCTTGCACATTTACCATTCGTCTGTGCATTGAATAATTGTTGCCATATCTACTGTGGGGATCTTACTGTATATCTCTAGATTCTTGCCAAAATTCAAATGGTCTGTAATGTAATTGATACTGCCAAGGCATCCCGGCTTCAGTGACTTTCTCACTGACGTGGCTTCCCTCTGTCTATTCTCCAAATATTCCCATGGAAAATTGTGCCCTTGACTACATGAATTTACGCTACGAGATAGGCAACTAGGTTGCAGTGTTATATTGCTAAACTAGCTAGATAGAAAGACCACTTCTACCCTAAGAGTTTCTCTTCTCGCACTTTTCACCTGAGGAAATCCCTTCAGATTTCCTGCTTCCCTGATAACGACAATTTTCGTAAATTTAAATGCAGCGTCAATCGCCATCAACAGTTTTCTTTAAACCTTTTCCTTTTTTGTTTTTTCCTCATTCCCCGCCTACTAAAATCTTCTCATTCTATTTCACTCGGGGTAGCCCTCTGCGTTCTAGCGGCACTATTGCCTTGCTTGAGGATGAAGGGAATAAAGAAATAGAATAATAGCAATTAATTAGTTTATGGCTTCTGGTAGTGCTGAACGGTAATATAGGACGAAAATAGTGTTAATGCAATATAGCCAGGATTGTATCCTGATTAAAATGGTTCATGGATGGCTTGATCAAAGAGATATCGTCTCATATTTGGTAACATAAACTAATGAAAGAATTAAGCAATTGAGGGAAATTTCTTGAATAATTAATAAAAAAGAATATCTATGAGCCAGGTGGATTTTTTTCTCTCCCAGAATGAATAATCGTTCTGATTCATCTATATGAAACTCAGATTACGCTCAGCAAATAACGCGACCGACTGAATATACGTCGTGTCGATATCATTTTAACTCTGATGGCGCCAAAGAGAAATAGTGGAGGCGGCTGCTTTATGTCAATTGCCATCAACTGTTTTCTTGAAACCTCTTCCTTTGTTCTTTCCTCAGACCCTCCTACTAAAATCTTCTCATTCTATTTAAACTCAGAGAAACCCTCTGTGTTCTAGTGGTACTATTGCCTTGCATGGGGGTGAAAGGAATAAAGAAATAAATAGAATAATAGCAATTAATAAGTTTGTGGCTTCTGGTAGTGCTGAACGGTAATATAGCGGAGGCGGCTGCATTATAACAACTGCCACGTTACCTATCACCTCAGAATCAACTTGTTAAGAATTTTGGTAACAGGAACTGATGAAAGAATAAAAGAGCTGTAATAAAATTCCGGAATAATTAATACAAGGAATGGTTGGAATATATATTTGCTCTAAACATTACACAAACTTATTAGGCAATTTATCGCTTTGCTTCACTCAACCGCTCCTTAATTTAAAATGTTCAGTGAATAATATGTATTCCAAGCCGGCTTTCCTCGTAATATGTTTCCAAAGTTTCAACAGTCTCTGATTTTTATGTCTGAGGGATATTTTGAAATAGACATTCTAAAATATACGTTAATTCTCAGAATCAGCCCTGCCGAGCAAATAATTTCAAAATACTACAAAAGAAAATAATAATAATAATAATATTAACTAACAGCATGGCCCGGCGTTGCCCGTGCTTGATTCAAAAATCGTACGACTCATACAGCAATCGTTATCACTTGACTTAAAATATTTTTGCCCTTGTTTGCCTTTAAAGAGTGCCATTTGCCGTGCTGATGTTGCTACATGCCTTACTTCTTGCCTATCTCACACTGCGAATTTTTTCTAAGCTCTATACTAAACATTAAATCTGTTACGAAAAAAGATCAGCTTTAAAAAGGATTCGTAACTGGAAAAACCGAATGAAAAAGAATGTTAACAACAAATACTTTTTCACACCCAACCCAGTTCTGTGGAATCAGAATCAATGTTGAGTTTAAGCAAGCGAATGAGCCAATTGGAGTAAAGTGCCATGCAGATTTAAATTTTTCCCACTTGTGACGAATGCAGCTATCGATTTTTTTTCATGCTAGCATGCTAGTTAACATTCGTGTCAGTCAGATGTTGGCTCTCACGCTGGCCAATAGAATCTTCCTGCCTATTCGTGGCCGCCAGCTATTGGCTCTCACTCTGGCCAGTAGAAAATGGCCTCAAACTACATGAAAACTGCCGCAGAAGCATGAAAAAATGGATTATTTCCACTATCGATGGGTGTTGGAAAATGCAAATTCGGTCTTGGCCTTCCAGCTAACTTGGAGCATGTGCATCTAATGTTTGGTGTAAATCCGTCGAAAATTGCGGCCGTGCATTCGTTACACACGCACACACACACACACACACACACACACACACACACACACACATCCTGCCTTTTATAGATAGAGATAATAATAATAATAATAGCATTTTCACACTCACATGGCAACATAAATACTTAAACTGAGAGACAGACGTCACTCATGTGATGTACCGTGTTCCATCAGGATGTGCAGATTATGACCCCCTTCAATCATTATCAGCTCTAAGCACCTTTTGAATATTCACCATCACTAGAACTTCCTGTTCTGTCAATTCAACCAACCTCATTACGTCGTTTGCTCTTTGTTTCCATCAAGAACTTCTACATATAGTGAGCATTAAAATTTTTGATATCGACGTTTCTATGACGAATACCTATCAACTATCTGCTCAGACAGTAAAGTGTTGTACGTGATACACTCTTGGGCGATCTTGTCGCTTTCGATTCATCACTGATTAGGCAGATTTTCCCCGACCGTAGCCTGTCGTTATTTTCTGTGGTAGACTGGCTGCCATCCCCGACTCTAGAATCCACACTACCCTGCTATGCAACCCATAACTGGGTCGAGGAATGATGGATTCGTACCTCTTTACCAAGTGTATTTGCGTGTTAGTGAATGCAACGATCCAGACTGGATATCGAACTCGACTCAAATTGATAGTTTCATTGACTTTAACCAAAAAATGATAATTCCTAGCCTTCTTAATGCGTCCTGTTTTATTTTTTAATTCTGTTGGGGATTTATACAGAAAACCGCGTTTTGAAAATAGTATGGTTTATTCGTTTCAAATATCCATATCCCCAGATATATGACACTTAAGATTAGACATTCACAGATTGCTGCAATATAATGCTATATATTATCGGGCGTTTCTTTCAATAAACAGTAATACTCAAAATGGAAACGCATTGAGTGTTTTTTTTTTTCTGTAGCCATTAAATATTGTCTAAAAACGAATCTGCATTAAGACGGGTGTATAAAACTTTATGTGTAATGCCCGAATATAATCTTGCATATGCAATTCGAACCTACGTCTGTTTGATTCCGTGGTCATAAAAAAAAACAAAAAAACTCACTATCCGGAAATGAAATGAGTAGAATATCTGAAAATACAATGCAAGTCATTACAAATATATCGGCCAGAAGTCCAAGTTTTTCAGTCTTTTGAGTGGATGAATTCGGATTACCTGAACAAACAAATTGAAAAGGGAATTGAAAAGATAAAATTGGCAAAGCGGAGAAGGACTGGAAGCATAATATCCAAATGCTGTTGGCCAAATCACTAGAACTGTATAAGAAATATGGAGCCATTATGTGTGCTCATTCATAATGAAATCAGTGGATATAATTATAAAGATGTACAGACAGATTAGTATACATTTGTATACGCAAAGGATTTCTCTTGTATTTTACTTCTTGAAGACTGGAAATTTTACAAAGAAACTTCGAAGTCGGGATAAAATTGATATTTAAAAGTTAAGTAATCTTTTCATATAATATTATTAACGGCCTATTTTAAATATCATTTTAATATTGGGCACTATATATAAAAATATCAGCTGTTTCTTAAATCATGTATATATATATATATATATATATATATATAAATACATGTGTGTGTGTGTGTATGTGTGTGTGTGTGTGTGTAAAGTGCGTGTACATTTTTGATATATGAATAGTTAGTACATAAGGCACTCTTATACTCAAAATGCATATATATCACAATAATTCAGGTACGAAAGGAACAGGAACTATTCAATGATTA